CTAGATCCCTTTCACACGTAGTCTCATTCAGCCAGGTGTCCCCCATCGCATATCACAATCATAATATAATTGTGCCTTGGTTGCTAAAAGAAGATTAATGATAAGCAACTGGTTATTTTCAGATTCTAGAGAAGACACAGTTGCCTTTGCCAGTTCTGAAACTTAGCACCACACTGATATTCTCCTGTACCAATGCCACTAGCATCAAGAAGCACATTCTATGTCATCAATTAATTACACAAGTACTGAGGTTGTCTCCTTTGATACAAGAATAAAAACTTGAGTGCTTTATTTATTCTATATAGCAGTGATCACAGGACTTTCAAAACCAAAGACCTGTAATCATTGCTGCTGTTGTTGCATGTCTTCAAGTCAGCTCCAACTTATGGTGACCTTAAGGTGAATCTATCACAGGGTTTTCGTAGCAAGATTTATTCAGAGTGGGGTTGCCTTTGCCTCTGAGGCTGAGAGGATGCAACTTACCCAAAACAGACAGTTGTAAATGGGTGGCTTGTCAACGCCCATTTCAGTGCCAGGTTGGGGCTTCGGCAACCGCACGCCACACACCTCACCTGACTGTTTGCTGGCTCAAAAAGAAGTGGCAGAAAACCACTCCTTTTTGAGCCAGCAAAAGGCTGGTTTTCCCACCACCACTGCTTTTTGGTACTCCTGTGGCATGCAGCATCTAAACGGTGTGCTGCTGGAATGCTCCAACGCTGCCCACTATATGGGTGGGCAGCGTGATCCTGTCTTGGCAGCAGGGCATGTGACGTCCAAACACCATGCCCCCACACCGCCCCAAAGCAGGCTGAAGCTGCTCATCTATTTTGGCCCATAGTGGGTTTCCATGACCAAGTGGGGATTCGAACCCTGGTCCCCAGGGCTGTAGTCCAACATTCAAACTACTACACTATGCTTGCTTGTCTACACCACACTGGCATACCAAAAATACAGATGTTACTGAAGAAGCCAGGATCTGAAACTGTGATTTAGAATGCACATGAAAGCTTCTCTCCTCTTCCATAGGTATGAAAGAGGAAAGGAAGGGCCAGTGTGTGCAAACTCATGAGTCATTTAGAGAGCAGAAAACCATAGATCCCTATAGTGTGTGAAAGAGGACACTGCCTTAATTTTCCTCTATAGTCTTGCTCTAAAATGTCTTCATTATTCCATCTTCATAAATACATGTTTAAGCAGCCCATTAATTCATAACTGTGCATTTTTAACAACAGTTCGTTCTTATTTCAACTGACAGCCTACTATATGCCCCTACATTCTATGCCGAGTGTAAATTCTTCAGAATAAGGGCTGTCTTTATGCTATAAAAGCCATTTAAGAATCTGGCAATACACAAGCCACATTCAGCAGTAAGATATAATCAATGTAACAGTAAGATATAAAATGTAACATTATAATATAACCAAATACTATTAAAACTTTCTTATGAGACAAATAAAAGTTTAATTATATTTTATAAAATCATATTTTAAGAATGGTTAAATAAATTTAAGAAGGACACTTCTCAGCAAGATTTCAAGATCCTCTCCATGTTAGAAATGACAATTATAGTGCCACAAACACAAACTAAAACCAAAAGGTGACTAAACCTATGCTACAGATTTCAGATTGTTTCAAATAGGTGAAGATAGGCTATATGTTATATCTGTATCCACATTTTCTTCACCTATTCAAGTATTTTAAAACTTTTTAAAAAGAACAAAGAACATGTGCATTTCAAATACTGTTCAGTAAACTACTTTAAAAAACTTATTGAGTGGTATTATCCAAGACACTTTAATAAGATCAACATGTTAGCATCTACAGTCATTGTTTATTACAGTTATATCATGCCTTACATTATTGAAAAAAGGTGACCAAAACAGAATTCTATGGCAGTCTCCCACTGAGGCACTACCAAATCGCAGACCTACTTAACTCCAATAGGATGACTTCTTGATATGCTTTAAAATTGCCCCAATACACATAATTTGCAGCATCCTGCTGCTACACATATGCTATGTTAAAATAATCTTCCATTATCTTCAAAAACCAGGGACCACTTTACACAGATTCTTGCTCTACTTTGACTCTGCCCTTCTTCCATCACACAGTTGTTTCAGCACAATGATCCTGGTACATTCACCATACATTGGAAAAGATTTGAACAATACACACACATTAAGGCAGACTTTCCCATTGAATCTAATTTGGGGAACTCTAGTTTAATGGCAGTTTTAAAAAAACCCAAACAAGATAGCTGATATTAAGCTAGAGGTCCCACTGCCAGCCAGGATCTGTTTACTGAAACCAGTGTGTGGTAGAAGGGGGAAGGGATAAAAAGGCAATGTGTATTTGTGTTATGGCTTCATAAGCCATGGGTTACAAAGTTGTAGGTGATCTTATGAACACAGCTAGTAAAGAATAGATCCCTGTGCCCACTCTCACAGGTCCTGTAGTGGTGACTAACACAATCTGGAAGGAAACTTATTTCTTCTCCTTAATATGCTTTTTGAAATTGATTCTGTGTTCCTGCACGGTAGGGGGTTGGACTGGATGGCCCTTGTGGTCTCTTCCAGCTCTATGAGTCTATGAATACAGCAAGAGCTTTCTGTAGGCCACACAATGAGCCAGAATTAAAGTTTGCTTGCTGCTTTGCATGACCCAGAAACACTTGTAGGTGTACACGTGGGTGAAGGGACATAGTTCGTGCAGTTCTCCACCCAGTCTCATGTGAGAGCTTTGACTTCATTCTGAAGAAGAATTAAGCAATCAGCCAGATAAAGTAGGTCCTACTCTGCACTTATGTATCCAACCCTCACACCAGCAGATTTTAGTCACAATCCACTAGTTTCTTTGCAACTAGTTTCTTTGATCCACTAGCTCATTTTCTTTGAAGAAAATAAGAACATCTATTCTATATGTGATTTCCCCCCACCCATGTTAGTGCTTTCTTGAGAATGACTGTCATATTTATTACATTTATAACCTGCCTAAATGAGAGCATTATGGTGTAGTGGTTTGTGTTGGACACTGGAAGACCAGGGTTTGATTCCCTGCTTAGCCATGTAAACCCCCAGGGTAACCTTGGGCAAGTCACATTCTCTCAGCCTCACACACACACACACCCACACACCAAGCAAATTCTGCCAGGAAACCCCCAGGATAGGTTCACCTTAGTCGCCATAAGTCAGATATGACTTGAAAGCACTGAACAACAAAACCCTGTCTTTCCCCTAATCTGCTCAAATATGTGCCTATGATTCTCAAACGGTCTACCTTACAATATCCCTGTGAAGTAACCAAGCAACTGAGACAGAATGACTGCCTGGATATCACATACTGAACTCCATGTAATCACACAGTGAACACCATAGCCCACTGGGGACCAAAATCTGAATCCCCCAAATCCCAAGTCCCCACTACACACTTTTCCCATATAATAAATTGATTTATTATGAATTTTCAAATTTAAATCTCATTTTGTTGTTGATTTTGTGTTGTCTTATCTTATGCATCATTTTGGATGTTTGTTATTATAAAGCAGTACAAAAGGAGCAATGGGGCGAGAAAATGCCTAACCCTTTACCCATGTCCATTTTTCTGTTTGAGCTATGCCCTGCAAGCCAGCCACTTTCAGGAGACTGCTTTCTAGGTGTCTGCATCTTTGTGCAAACAATGGCCAGAACTAACCCCCCCCCTCATAAGCCCTTTATGCTTTCAAGATGCACATGCTCCAGACTACCATGTGTGGGGATGCAGCTGTTGCATTTAAGATACAGAGCTATGCAATGTCGAAGACCAACATTTCTTTTCCCTAATGTGCCAGGGACCGGTACCATATTTCTACCCATTGGTGATATGTGTTTCTTTCTTATAAATTCTCAGTAGGCAGGCAGTCAGCCAGCCTATGGTTTGTGGACCAAGGCACATACGTTCATTATGAAACTCAACTCACATACTGTGTTGTCCCATTCAGATAGTCCCCTCAGTAAAAGAAACTTAGAGACAAGAAGTATCCCTTTTCACTGTGGGGCATCTACACTGTAGAAACAATGCAGTTTGACAACATTTTAAGTTTGGTAGTTACATCCTATGGAATCCTGGGATTTGTAGTTTCACAAGGTCTTTAGCCATCTCTACCAAAGTGTGCTAGTGCCTCACAAAACTGCAAATCCCAGGATTCTGTAGGAAGGCACCATGGCAGTTAAAATGGTGTCAAACTACATTTTTTTTTTTTAAACAGAGTAGATACATTCTTGGATACATGCAATAAGGCCAGAGTTCAACCCTGAAATGAATGATAACTTCCCATCTCTCAGGCAGTGCAATTTCTGGACAAATGGGAGAGCTTTCCTAAACTTCCCAGCCAAGCATCCAACCACTAGACCACACTGCACTCTCTAAAAAAGCCACATCATACAATCCCTTAATTGCTCAACTGGAGAGCTAGCCCAAAAGGGCACATGATCCATTAGCTCCAGGGAACAGTCACTCAGCACTTCTTCCTTTGCCCTTAAGTTCTAGGCATACCGTTGCTGTGGTTGCTGCTGTGTGCCTTCAAGTCGTTTCTGACTTATGGCAACCCTAAGATGACTCTATCCTGGAGTTTTCTCGGCAAGACTTGTTCAGAGTAGTTTACAATTGTCATCTTCTGGGGATGAGAGAGTGTGACTTGCCCAAGGCCACCAGTGGTGTTCCATGGCAAGCAGGGATTCAAACCCTGTTCTCCAGTTATAGTCCTCATGCTCAAACTACTACGCCTCGTACTGTAGCTCTTTCACTTGCCTCCCCCTATATATACACAATATATATATATATATGTGTGTGTGTGTGTGTGTGTCACTCTGGGACCTTCCCTGGCTTTCTCCCCACTGCCAATCTGAAACCCTATTTGTCTTCCCTCTCCTGTTTCTCCAGCTCTTGTTATGGGAATGGGAGGCTGTGTGCATGTGGCCATCATCTGACACTGGTGAGTGCTCAGTCCAGCTCTCCTGTTTACAGCCAGCGTGGCGGAGTGGTTTGAACATCAGGCTACAACTCTGGAGAGCCAGGGTTCAAATCCCAGCCCAGCCATGAAACCCACTGAGTGACCTTGAATAAGTCACACTCTCTCAGCCACAGGGGGAAGGCCATGGCCAACCCCCCTGAAGAAACCTTCCAAAAAACCCAGGATGACCAGAGCTCCTCGATTCGCGAGACATCTCCTACACCTCAGCCTTCTTCTGTCCAGGAGGCATTCCAAAATGTCCTCCATTTAAAGCAGAGGTAGACAACCTTTCCCCTTTAAGGGCCGAGGGACTTCAGCTCCCAGAATCCCAGGAGCTATTGGCCAACATGGGACTATTGGCCAACATGGCTGAGGCTTCTGGGAGCTGAAGTCTCTCGGCCCTTAAAGGGGAAAGGTTGCCTACCCATGATTTAGGGCATGACTAAGAAGCATGGGTTTACATTTATACGAGTGTTTTCAGCTTTTTAATATTTAGTTAACATCCTCCATTTTCTCTCTTGAAGGTCCTCAATTCTCCAGCGTCTGGTCCTCCTTTGTGGTGAGGAGGACATAGGGTCACTCTGCAAGGAAACCCCAGGGTAGGTTCACACAACTTGAGGGTCGCCCTAAATGGGGAACGACTTCAAAGGCAAAACAACACTCACCCAACTGGGAAAGTGAATGAGAGATTTGGGTCCAAAACACACTGCAGAAATAATCCCGTTTGAGACCGCTTTAACTGCTCTGGCTCAGGGCTAGGGAATCCTGGGAAGTGTGGTTTTTGTGAGACATTTCGCCTTCTCTGTCAGAGAGAGCTCTGGTGCCACAATAAACTACAATTCCCAGGATTCCCTAGCACTGAGTTAAAGCGGTCTCAAACTGCAGTGTGTTTTGGACCCAAACCTCTCAGTTCGAGACCGCTTTAACTGCCCTCAGAGCTCAGTGCTAAGGAATCCTGGGGACTGCAGTTTACTGTGGCACCAGAGCTCTGTCTGAGAGAGAAGGCTAAACGTCTCACAAAACTACAGCTCCCAGAATTCCCTAGCAGTGAGCCAGGGCAGTTAAAGCGGTCTCAAACCGGATTACTTCTGCAGTGTGTTTTGGGTCCCTAAGGTCTTAGCCCAACCCTCAAAACAACCGCGCCACGCTGGCTCTACATAGTTCCAGGGCGCCACGAAGACCATCCAAAACCAGGGCCCTCAGAGAAGCGAAAGGGAGGAAAGCAGGCGGACAGCCGGGGGCGCCGCGGAGTTCCCCGGCCTCCGCCCGAAGGCGCCTCGGTAGCCCATAGAGCCAGAGCCAGACCCCGCTCGCCTGGCCTCGCTGCTCACCGTTGCTGTAGGGCGGCGGCGGCGGCGGCGGTGGCTGGTGCTCCGTCCTCCCGGCCCCGTTGAGGCCGCTGGTGCTGCTGAAGGCGGCGGCGGCGGCGGCGGCTCTCCCCGGCTGGGCCATGGCGGTGGCTGCGCTGCTCCGTCCAACTGCTTGCCGGGCCCCAGCGCCCAGAGCAGGAGGAGAAGGAGGAGGAACCCTCCCTCACGCCGGAAGTGGAGGGCGGAAGTGGAGCCCGCGCAGGCGCTCTCCGTACACGTGGCACTTCCGGGGGACGGAGCTGGGGCGTCCCCGCG